CTGCCATCAGACTCCTAAACAGCTGATTCAGGATCTACCTCATGTAATTCCATCTGTACTGTTTACATACTCATTTTGCACATGCATAATTGCACACTCACTGCTGAGTATTTGCATTCCACAGCTCCCACATACCATATATTCTCTCTGCATTATATTGTGTTCTTGTTGTATTTTTATTTGCTCCCTCACTTGCTGCTTAAAGTGCCTTAGATTTGTGTTACTGCTCATCTACTTTATATTTCATTTGTATTTTGTGGCATTCATGTGGACGGCAAAGCAAGAATTTCATTGTACAAGGAAACATGTTTCCTAACTGTGCATATGACAAATAAACACTTTGACCTTTGACCTTGAAATATATTTGACTGAATTAAGTATTTTTTCTGACATGCAGCAGTAATAATGTCTAATGATCTACTGAAAAAGTGAAAACATGAACAGAGTATTTTGAAGACAAATCATCTTTTTACTTGTTAATCATCGCATTGCTCCTTTTCTAGCGACCTCTAACCCTAATCCCCAGGCTGGGAGCCACTGAGACATGACGATCTTGCAGACATTAAAAATCAATCACACCCCATACACCAGACGACTTATCACAGCCCACGAGGCCTGGTGTCATCTGCTCAGTCAGCCAGAAACAGCAAACCACAGCAAAACGCTCCAACTTCTTCCTTCTGCTTCAGCATTCAGAGTTACTGTTGCGCAGCCTCCTGAGAGGATCCATTCTATCAAGAAACACTGCAAAACTGCTGTATATGTACTTTTAAAGTTATGACTTTGCAAATAGTAGGTTCAGTTCCAAAACACAGGTACAGGTTTCTTTACTTTGAATATAATTAAAGTTTCATCTTCTGTAACAAAAAAGCCTCCTGAAATTGACTGATCATGTGTTTTGAAAGCAAAAGGCCGAAGATGACTCATGACTAAAGGCAGGTTTGCTGGCAATAAGATAAATGTCAGCAAACAGTAGGCATCGCTTGTTTTTATTTTGAAAGGAAACTCTTTGTCAGGATCCGAACCCAGAACTGGCTGAGTCTTTTGTATGACACATTTCTGAACAACTCTGACATCGATGTAAAGTGGAGAATTATGAATCATGATGTTTTTTATTGGCAAAAATTGACCTTCATATGACTTTTTTCTCTTATTAGCCAGGAGCAGAATAGATGTGGTGTACATGTATGAAGACCAAGAAAATTTAGAAAAAAGGAAAGCGCATTTATAAAATGTCACAACATGGCTGATGATAACAAAATATTAACACTGGTATCTGATGAAGTGTCCTTGTGAAATGAATCAGTCCTAATGAGTACAAAATAAAGCATCATTTCAAGGCTGAACCCGGCACCAGCAAACCAACCCAGTTCACTGTAGTAACCCCTTCACTTTCTCCAAACACCACCAGCAGGTCAAAATTTCAGTCACTTCAATACTTTTGTTTATGACCAAGTGCCTGCAAAACATTGTCCCATCAGCCTCAGCTGCACTAGGGCAGCATGGCCTATGACCTGACACAGGGCAAAGTGTAACTTAAGGTCAAGTAGCGTGTGCTTCCGTCACATTACCATACAGTAGTTGCTAGCTTTTTTAGGATGTGGACACATATTGATGTGATGGCACTTTATCTATGTTTGTTCAAAGCAGACCCGACAAAAGGGCAATAACTTGTGCAATAGACATATTTTGATGAAGGAACCATGAAACCTGTGTGTAATCCAGCTGATAAAAAAGATGCAGTTCTCTCTAAACTGGTCTGTTGTAGTCCAATACTGTATCCACTGTCTACTGTTCCCTGTGCACCTGCCTCTGGGGACTGTCACAAAGAGAGAAAGAGCTTGATACAATTAATTCGTCTCAGACCCTGATCGCCACCTTTGTTTATTTGTCCTTTCTCAGCGTTCTCACCTTACATCTATACCTCCATCCCGCCCCTCACTTCTCTAGGTCCCTCTTTCTCCCTCTCCCACTGACCAGCTGTTTTTCTCTTCTCTGCCTTCCACCACTTCCCAGGGAGGACCAGCCCACCCTTCCCCACCCTTCTCAGTCTCGCAGGTACACCAAACACGCCTGGGGCGCACCCTGACTAGGAAAGGCTCAGGATCACCTTACGGCCTTAGCTGAAAAGGGTCCTTTCTAAAACAGTGAGTACATCGCAGCCCCACTTTGAACAAAGGTCCGGAGTTGTCAAGGGACCAGACCCCCTTTTTAGGGCTTTGTCTGCCTGCCTGCTTAGAGAGAGACTGCACCCAAGAACTCATATTGGAAAGACATCACTAGTCATGAAGAAGTCATAAGATCAAGAGCTTCAAGACATTTTAATGGACCTAGCATTGTCTAATAAACCAGATTAAATATAACTATTATTACGATAAGTCAATACAGTCCAAGTGAGCATCAGTGTGGCTATTAAAATTGGCTTATTACCAGTATTTTAATAACAATTGTGAAGCAGGTCCTACCTGCAAGTTGAAATGGTCATTTAACTGCTACTGAAGCAACAGGTGTTTGTAATCTTTAAGACCAACAATCTAAACCAGGTTCAGACACTGTGGTGAGTATATGCAATTCACATACAAGATGCAACTGCTTAGGTTAATCAATCTAAGCTAACACTTGTATCAAAATAACTGCATGTGCACCAAACTGATTACAATCTGGTTTAAAATGAAACTTCATTCACTTCAGCAAATTACTGAGTCTGCCTTTGGCGCACTGCAGTGACGGTAAAATTATGTTACTGATTTGCATCAGTAGGTCAAGTTCAGACAGCTCTGCCATAATGGTGCCAAGTGGTCCTGTCACTGCAACATTTGGCCACAAGATGTCAATGTGACCATATAAACAAATAGCAGAGCGCCCAGACACAGTCACCTCTCCAACTTGACAGTAATCACTGCGGCACTGAGGTTATGTTTTAAGTGGGAGATATCAGAGATGTACTTTCCATGCTTCCAGATCCAATTATTGTCTCATATCTAATCACATTTACTCGATTCTTGACCTTTTGTTACCTCATACCTGTTTAGTCAAGGTTTGAAAAAAAATGGGACTTGTTGCGACTAAGAGGATGTCAGAAAGGTGTTAATTGTAAGGGAACATCAGCACAAGAAACATTTTGATTTGATTTGATTTATTCTTTCAAGCATGTAAAAACAGTTGATATGACAACACACATAATTTTACACATAATCCAATATCAATTTGCTTATACCTAGTACATGCTTGAATGGAGTAGGAAGAAGTCAGACTTATCCAGTCCTACCCCATGACATCATCTTACCATCATTGGTTTGCAAGCAGTAAAAGTTTCACTTCTACGCACACACATATTACACTAAAAAAAGAATATAACAGTGTTAACATTCTTACATCACACAAGTAATTTTAACTCCTGTTTCTCTATGGAAAAAATTTGATTGCAGTATTAAATGGGGGAAATGCACTTAGAAGCACTAGCTATAGTGTTTTTTCCAAGTGTAACATGACTTGGCCTTCCATCTGAATGGGTGTTTTTGAACGGTGCTAATCCAGAGTGTGATCTCTTGATCGGGCACTGTGTGGGACCTTTAAACCAAACTGTTGGTGAGATGGAAATGACAGCAATTATATTGTATATCCAAAGAAGACACGTGAAAATATAGTTATATAGTATACTGTATATTCAAGCAAGTACATGTAACTGTGTTTATAAAGGTATGTTCAAAACTAGTCTAAAATAATGTAAGCAAAACAACACAAATACAATGCAATACAATACAGACCTATTGTATCGGACATCATACTATATATCAGAAATGTTAAAATGTATTATAGTAATGCTAAACATTATCTTGTGAATTACAGTTTCACACAAGCAAACCTACACATTTCTTCTGAATTTGCCAACCTGATTTTTATGACATTTTTATGTGCATTATTCCATAAACTGTAGGACTAACATAAATTAAACCACACTGGTTTGTACTGTTTTTCTCTTTGTAGCATTTTCCTCTTCCTGTTTACTCACTGTGCTTCAGTGATTGTTCTTTTATGTCACTGTAAAATATGTTGTATTTGTCTTAATGTTGCTTTTTCCAAGATGGGTTCATTCCACCTTGACCTGTAATAGTCTCATCCATGGAGGTCTGAAGAGGCAGTCTCAGATCATTTAAAATTGCAAACCTGCCCTAAAACTGAAACGGTGAAGAGACCTGCATACTAACTTTGTAATGAGCTGCTCCTTTAACTTCTTGCATGTCAGACCAAAATGCTGTTTAGAGTTTGGCCGTGGTCTCCCACTGCGCTTGCTGGTGTGCAGACGGAATGAAGAGATCGATTTGGGTCTGGCATCCTCCAACATTGCTGAGTGCCTCACCAGTCACAAAAAGAACATTTTCTAAATGGTAAAAGATGAGCTAATAAATATGTGTGAAATAACATATTTTGACAAATCCAACCTGATAACAATTGGCAACGTTGTTTCATTTATGACAGATTTTCTTTAACAATAAATCTAAATCCTTTTGTGAATGATCTTTTTAAATGGAATTCAGTGCAAGTACTGCCTTTTGGAAGGTTAGGCACCTCGCTCCGTGCCTGAGAGTCTAAACTGAGGGAAGGAAACCTCCTGAGATCAGCCCCTGGAAATCTTATCACGTGACCTCTCCTAAACGGTTGTCATATGATTTTCAGCTTGTTTTCCAACATGGCGGCCAGGCACGAATGTCTGTCTGTTGGTCTCCTTTTAATTTTCAGTGGGGTTTTAAGTTTTCCTGTCGGCCAGGACACAAAACAAAGCGCCACTTGTGGATACGAGGTTAGTTGCTTTTGCAGTTTGGCTGTTTTGGATTTGTTGTGCGTGTTAAACATCAGCAGCTCCATAAAGCATAAGTCTGTTGGAGCTACTTTTAGTTTCACTCATTAACGTTGTTGGTTATTTCTAGGTTTGTATGCGGAAGTTATTACACTGAGTATATAAACAAGAGCTGTATTTCTCTCTACGTCACAACATTTGGGTTAATTTTGTTGTTTTTACTTTGTATCTTCTTTACCGATAGTGTAGTAGTCCAGTGCTCTAGATGTGTTTGTGTGTGTGTGTGTGTGCGCAGTCATGTCATGCCACCAAACCCAACATGCTAAATGTCCACCTGGTCCCTCACACACACGACGACGTGGGCTGGCTCAAGACCGTCGACCAGTACTACTATGGAGGTCAGTCTCTCTCATACACATACACTTAATTTACCTACCACAAACTGCCTGGACTGCAAAACACAACTATGGTCTAAAAAGATGTTGATGGTAGTGTAATGTCCCCAAATTACAGTTAAACACAACTATGGTCTAAAAAGATGTTGGTGGTAGTGTAATGCCCCCAAATTACAGGCCTTACCACACTCACTCAGTTTTCTTTCTAGTCCAAATTCACCCCTCTGCTCCTGCTCTTCACCTTTTAATACCTGATTTAAGTTCTTATGAAACCAGAAGATAAAATCTGTCACATACTCGAGTGCTTTTGTTGGACAGCATAAGGTGCTGCATGTTAACAAAAGCTCTCATTAAAGGAACAAAACTGCGTGTCTGTTTTTGTCCAGTCACTCATGGCCGACACTGTAACAACGGTTTTACAGCTTTAGTGTGACTGTATGACTAGCTTGCATATTTCAGTATCACATGCCTCTTTATAGAGAGAATGACTGTTTGCTCTGCATGTGACCACCATCTGTTTCTGACCTCTGTGTGTTATCTTATGTCTGGTTGTGTAAGTAGAGATTAAACAGTCATGTGCATCAGAAGTGCTAGACAGAGATTAAAGAGAGTTTAGATTGTGTAAGAATGTGTTTTAGACTTGTGATTTTCCATCCCTCTGTACCTCTGTAGACCGTAATGACATCCAGCATGCGGGGGTGCAGTACATCCTGGACTCGGTGGTGGATCAGTTGTTGAAGAATCCAGACAGGAGGTTTATCTATGTGGAGACAGCCTTCTTCTACCGCTGGTGGAAACAGCAGAGCTCTGGCATGCAGCAGACAGTCAAACAGCTTGTCAATGAAGGTACATCAACTCTACTGATAGTTCGTCTGCTCTGGAGGAGTCTGAGTCCATATCATGACTGGACACTTCTCCCTGCTCTCTCCTGCACCAGGCCGCCTGGAGTTTGTGAATGGAGGTTGGTGCATGAGCGATGAAGCCACCACTCACTACAGTGCTGTTATTGACCAGATGACTATGGGCCTGAGGTTCCTCAATGAGACATTTGGGCCTTGTGGTCGTCCTCGAGTTGCCTGGCATATTGACCCCTTTGGCCACGCCCGTGAACATGCCTCTATGTTTGCACAGGTAGATTAGTTATGGTCAGAGACCAGAGCAAAGCAAGTAAAGAGTAAAACTTGCATATTTTTTGCAAATCGTAAAGTCTAGCTGGTGTTTAAAGTACAGACACAAAAGTGGTATAGATCTTCTCATCTATCTTTCACAAGAAAGCAATTAAGCATATTTCCTAAAATGTCAAACTATTCCTTCAAGAGCCAGTGTGTAATTTTGCTTCAGCTTTCAAAAACGCAACACAGATGAGTGGCTTTACAATTAAACATGCTACTCTGCGTTTTACTTTAAACTGTCATCTGTGTGTTTTGTTCTAGATGGGATATGATGGCTTGTTCTTTGGTCGTCTGGACTACCAGGACCGGGATCGCAGAATGAAGGACAAGGAGCAGGAGCTGCTGTGGAGGGCGTCAGACACCCTCACACCCCCGATGGCTGACCTTTTCACCGGTAACGTAATTCCTACACAAGAACACTTCTTCTTTTGTAATTTTGGTCAAGTGATCCTTTAACCTTTGCCCTCAACCCTTCCACCTAACAGGGATCCTTCCCAACGGTTATAACCCTCCAGAGGGCTTCTGTTGGGACCAGTCCTGCAGTGACCCACCAATCAGAGATGACCCTGACCTGGAGGACTACAATGTTGATGATGTGGTGAAGCGCTTCCTCGCCATCGCCAGTAGTCAGGTTTGACACATGCACATACCTATGCACTCGCCTAAACATAAACACACCATATCTCTTAGGAGAATGTATTAAGGTTATGTGTTTACCCCATACAATCATGTGTACAAAGACATCATTTTTAATGCTAAAATGAGCCTCCACCAGTATTTTCTAGAGCGTTCAAAACTCTCAGAAAGCTGATATTTAATTTACCAGATAGTCAGACACCTGTATGAGTGAGTTGATATTCTGCATTTATATTCACAGACTAGACATAACAGGCCGTCCTTGGAGTTTGGGTGTTTCTGTTTAACTACTCCTTCCTCCTCTCTCAGGCTAAAGTGTATAAGACCAATCACATAATCATGACCATGGGCTCAGATTTCCAGTATGAGAATGCCAACCTGTGGTACAAGAACCTGGACAAGCTGATCCACTACGTCAACGCCCAGCAGACAAATGGCAGCAGAGTCAACGTGCTCTACTCAACGCCCTCCTGTTATCTCCAAGAGCTGCACAGAGCAAACCTCTCCTGGTAGTGTGAACTTTAAATGAGCAGGGACATTGGCACGTTAGAGCATCAATGTCAGAATTATACCCAGAATCATAGTATAAAGAGCTATTTTGTCTACTTTCATATCTTAACTTCACGTCTACCCAGGGCTTTGAAGACAGATGACTTCTTCCCCTATGCAGACAATGCTCATCATTTCTGGACCGGCTACTTTACCAGCCGCCCGGCACTGAAACGTTACGAGAGGATCAGTAACAGCAATCTGCAGGTAATCTGAGGTTCCCTAAACACTGACCAATTTGTATTTAAAGCTAAAATCCACTGAAATCACACTTGGAAAGTTGCTTTACCTTGTTCTTCTCTGTATGCAGAGAGAATGTTATTAATTAAGAGATATTCTGATCTTAAAAATGGCTATAAAGTAAATGATATCTGCAGAATACAAAAATGAATTACAAATGTATAATTGACCCAAAAATTAATCCTAATAATTATAACACAAAAGCAGCTCAAATATTGGGCTGAAACTGAAAGGTGCAGTCTGTGATTTCATTCATACATTCATCTACACTAACATGCTGATATACAGTATGACATGCACTGTCATTTAGCATTTTAAAATGTTGCTATTAATATAATATTATCCCATGTTAATGTAGGAATTCTGTCATTACATATGAGATATCCTTCTCAGAGTCTTAAAAGCCTACTCTGGGAGCAGGAATAGTATTATTGCTATGTTCAATTTTATGTTTTAACGGTGTGGCTTTGTCGGCTTTTATTTATTTATATTTTCAGGCATGTAACCAGTTAGAGGTACTTGGTGGTCCGGGTTCCAGGAGGGGACTCTTTGGAGAGGGCGACAGCCAGACCATGAGTGGGATTTAGTTTTTATTATATTTCTCAGTGAGAAAAGACTGGATGAATAATTCACTACATAAATTGTCAAGCCATCATAACTCTCCATGTAACAGAGGTCTTAAAATTAATGAATACATCTGACTGGAAACCAGACAGACGAGTCACTGGCAGCCACTTGTTTGTGCTTTTATTGGCAGAGAAAGCCATGGCTGTGGCTCAGCACCATGACGCTGTGTCCGGCACGGAGAAGCAACATGTAGCGAACGACTATGCCAGGAAGCTAGCTAACGGCTGGCAACGTTGTCAGGTATGTCAGACTCAACATCATCCTGTATATTCATAGATTAACATTTTGAGGCACTCTGCTACCGTTTGTGCAGGTGAGTCTTTGTATTATCTGTACAGAAACATGTTTTGCACAGTATTTCCAGACAAAGTGTGATCCACAGAGGTTCAGAGGGTACATCTATTGTTGTCAAATAAAAACTGTTGGATCAGCTGCTAATGTGCAATATTTTGTGTAGCTTAAACTAGACAAAGTGTGATCCACAGAGGTTCAGCGGGTACATCTATTATTGTCAAATAAAAACAGTTGGATCAGCTGCTAATGTGCATTATGGGAACTGCAATATTTTGTGTAGCTTAAACCATTTGTAAATGTCTGTTGTTTGTGTTTCATAGATGTGATAGTGGAAGACAGAACGCACCTGCTCATTCAGCCCTAACCTTCATTTCTCTCTCAGGTTTTGGTCAGTAACAGTTTAGCGGCTCTGACCGGCGTGTCTGCTGAGCGGATCTACTGTGACAACCTCAACATCAGTGTGTGTCCTCTCACTGAGTCCAGCAAAAAGGTGACACACAAACATGCAGAAATGTTTACCACTAGATGAATACCTTATAACCCCTAACTTTTAAAATGCTATTTAGTTTTAAACATCATAAAACTCTTAAACCCGGGGAAAAAAACCTTTTAAATTGATTTGGTTCCTAACAATACAACATATACCAGTGCATACATACACTTTTTGAATGAACGCTGTTTAGTTTTATAGTGTTATTTTCAATTTTTATTGTTATTTTCTGTTCCTTGTTGCCTTAAAAACACTTTGAGAATCTCTGCATTGGAGTCAAATTCCTTGTACACTATATGGACAAAAGTATTGGGACGCCTGAGCATTACACCAACAGGGACTTTAATGACAGTGCATTCAAATCCATAGACTTTAATATGGAGTTGGTTCCCCCATTGCAGCTGTAACAGCTTCCACAAGAGTGGAGTGTTTCTGTGCCCATTCATTCTGTAGAGCATTTATGAGGTCAGGCACCGATGTTGGACAAGAAGGCCTGGCTCACAATCTCCGTTCCAGTTCATCCCAAAGGTGCCTGGTGGGGTTGAGGTCAGGGCTCTGTGCAGGCCAGCCAAGTTCTTCCACACCGAACACATCCAACCATGTCTTTATGGACCTTGCTTTGTGCACTGTGGCATAATCATGCTGGAATAGAAAAGGGCCTTCTCCAAACTGTTTCCACAAAGTTGGAAGATGATTATGAATCTGTACATACACACACTCAGGGAGATCATGTCGACTTTATGGATATAGTGTTTGAATTATTCAAGGCAGGTCTGTAAATACATGCTCATCTTTAATTACAACCATTAGCTGTATTTACATTTACATATATCAATTTATTAATCACTGATGCTCAGCGCCACCCTGCTTCTCTCTCTTTCTCTCAGTTCTCAGTCAATGTGTACAACCCTCTTGCTCGGCCTGTCACTTGGCCGGTCAGTCTGCCAGTGAATGGATCTGCATACACTGTATCTGATGCTCAAGGCAAATCTGTGGACTGCCAGGTCAGTGTGTGTGCTGCAGCATCAAATATGAAGTGATCTGCAACTGTCAGTCAATAACACATGATGATGATGATACCAATAAACCTCTGATCTGTATAGAATCTTTTATTTGGTAATGACTTGGAGCGGATTATTCAGCTTTAATAGAAACTTGCTGGTTGCTAAAATATGTAGGTCTTTAGTTTTTTGAAGTGTAGGCCAATGCGCTTGGGATATTAATTACTTACATGTGGAAGTTTTCTGTGGCCCTGAATTATTTTAAGTAATTACTAGCTCCAATATTTTCTACAATTAAGGAAACTAAATGATTTAAGGGCAACACTAAAACATGTATTGTCCTTTGGCACAATTGGTTTAGTGCAAAATCAGTACAAAATATCATTTGAAGATGTCAAAGGTGCCAGGAAATAGGGTGATTTTCAGATCTTGATGACAGGATTTCATAAAATAATCCAGATCTTGAAGAATTCAGTTCCTTTTAGCCACAACCCTGGAGTCGCGTGTTGTTTAAAAAGTATTTTCTGGTGCTACAGCAGCAGACATAATCAGGTAGCAGCTTCTCTGCCTCTCTGCTCCAGGTGGTTCCGGTGTCCCAAGCCACTCAGAACGTGAGGAGGAGTCAGGGCTTCGCTATCAACGAGCTGGTGTTCCAGGTTCAGGCTCCTCCTCTGGGCTACACCACCTACTCCGTGTCCCTGCGTCAGGACGGGCCTCCACCTGCCGCCACACATCACCGCACGCCCACAGTGATCCAGAACAAGGTTTTACCGCAGCATTGTCATGCACTTTATGCTTTATCTTGGGATCTAAGCTCACAGTGCTTTACAGGAAAACAGCATTGTTTACATATGTAAATAAAACAGTCATAAACAAAACAGATGATGGTTGCTTAAACTCACTGTGTTGTGCCAAATGCAGCGGTGATATGACCACATCCACACTAACTCTGGAGGATTTCATACATTGTATTCAAAAACAGTGTTCACATTCAGAAATAGAGTTTAAACATTCGATACTTGTGAATTGTCTCAAGTTTAAAATGAATTTTGTTTCATGTTGTCACAGAGTGGCAGTGTTATGCCTTAGAAATGATAGTGTTGATGAATTTCCACTGGAAAAAAACGATAACTGCAGGGCTAATCCTGTGCTCTTTGCACAGGCTCGTTGTACCTGCATGGAAAAGTACAATTATATTATCTTCTGAAAACTGAGAATATGTGTGCTTATGTGCTCCAGTTTTTAAAAGTGACCTTCGACCCCGACACCAACCTCTTGAGCAGCCTCAGCAACCTGGAGACAAAACAAACCATCAAACTGGCACAGAATTTCTATTGGTTAGTGTTTCACTGCTCAACACATTAAAAGTTATTTTTAAAGACAAACCTAGACACCTGCAAATAAATGTCGGCATGTTCTTCCTCTCTCTTTGCTGTTAATAGCACTCGGTTGTGTGTGTTGCATGTTTCAGGTACAACGCCAGTGATGGTAACAACGTGGACAGTAAGCAGCCCTCGGGAGCGTACATCTTCAGACCCAACTCGTCCACGCCTTTCATTATCAGCAGGACGGCGAAGACAGAGACTGTCCAGGTAGAGATTGAGCTGCATCCCGGCTGTGTTCACATTCAGCTTCATCATAGTGCACTGATTCCTGTCTCTCTCTTTTAAACTCACAAACCTGACATCCTGAAACGTTAGGTTTAATTTTTTTAAAAGGACAAATATGTTCATTCTATTCATATTTTCACATTTGTTCATTTTATTTATTTGTGAGTAACAGACTGCTGCGTCACATCTGTTTGTGCTAGACTACTGTGATTTCAAATCCAGTCATTTCCAACAGTGTGTGCGTCAGAAAAGCCCTTAAATGTAGAGATTACTGTTTAGGTTCTTAATGGTAGTATTTAAATTGGTTTGGCATTAAAACATTTACAAGTACAATAATTATTAAACATTATATTGTATCCCTCTGCACCCAGACCTCAGTGATGCAGGAGGTGAGGCAGTGGTTCGCTCCCTGGGTGTCTCAGGTTGTCCGACTCTACACTGACAGCAGAGATCTGGAGCTGGAGTGGACAGTGGGACCACTGCCTATAGAGTGAGTGTGGATGTATTGCAGTATCAGTGCTGCCAATATCCAAATAGAAACTGCAGCGCTGGAGTCATGACCCTTTTCTCCTCATACTTCTGAACCTCTCTTTCTCATTCCCTCTCTCTCATTCCCTTGTCAGTGACAACTTGGGGAAGGAGGTGATCACTCGTCTAGACACCAGTATCAAAACCTCGGAAATGTTCTACACTGACTCCAATGGAAGAGAAGTGCTGCAGAGAAAGTAAGTTGGGCTGCCTACAGGCTCCAGGTTATCAGCCTCAGTCATAGAGAAGGGCTTGTTTTCCTGGTTGAAATCTAACAGATCTAAAACTTTGACTCATGTCAAACCTGTCGTTCCCATCCACAGTTCATCTGCTGAAAAAAGAAAAAAAAACTGCCTATAAAGTGATAATATGTTTCCAAGTTCATGTGATTGTCTTGATGCCAGTGGTGAAGTTATCAGCCTTGTGTGACAGTATATTCCAGTTTATTAAAGAAAATATTGCAGAAAGTGTTGTGGTTGAATTAGAAACTATGGGCCTCATTCAGCCGTTGCTAAGAATACGTTTCTTTCATTCATTCACAGTTGCGAACAATTCTGGGGCTCAAGAACACGTTCATAAATCGGACGTAAACGTTTCTTAGGACCTTTCTCAAGAACAATCTACTAAGAAATTTAAGAAAACACTTAGGAAGATGTTGGTCAATGAGGCTTTATATTTGTCATATTTCACTCTGTGCCAGTAAGAGTGTTGTAGCACAAATAGTCAATCAAGGTGGATGCACAGTATTTAGATCTGACTGCTTTTAATTAAAATCAAAGTGACGTTGACTGTGTTTTATGCCCTTACTGTGTCTTATAAGGACGTTCAGGTAGCTGTGTGTTATTTCCCTAGAGGAAAGACTTCCGGCCCACATGGCACCTAAAGCAGTCGGAGCCCATCGCTGGAAACTACTACCCAATCAACTCCCGTGCTTTTATCAAGGTGTGTACATGAGAGGAGTGTTAGAGGAATGACATTTTCTTAAATGAAAGCTTTTGACAACTCATTTTGTGTTTTTCTTTTTCAATATGAGGTTTTCTAACCGAACAATTTAATTTTGTTATTCATTCTAATTTGAAATTCAGAAGAAATTATGGCATTTCAGCTTTTTTTCACTCTGTGTGTGTGTCTTTTCAGGATGATGAAGATCAACTCACTGTGGTGACTGACCGCTCTCAAGGAGGAGGAAGCATCCAGAACGGCTCTTTGGAGATCATGGTGAGATATCAGACACAACACTCACCGTCATGACTGTCAGCACGTCAAGTGCGTCAACACACACACACAAACAACTAAGTCCTACTTCACACTACAGCTTTATCCTCCATTATCAGGTTTGAACCAGCTCTAACAACACAACTGACAAACTCCACTCACTAAGTCCATTTCTCTCTCAGTATGCACGCACACACACACAGTCCCACTGAAATTCTGCCATCTCTCCATCAGCTCCATCGCCGGCTCCTGTACGATGACGTTCGCGGTGTTGCCGAACCTCTCAATGAAACCTCCAGCATCTTCCCAGATGGGCTGGTAGTGCGCGGCCGCCTCCTACTCTCCCTGGACCGCCCTTCCACCGCTGCTGACACACACCGCCCCCTAGCAGAACAGGTGGTACTGCAGCCCCTACTGACATTCACTGATGGAGGGCTGAACCCAAACACTCAACTGGAGGTGAGTGAAGAGAAGGATGATAAATAGGACTTTGCAGCTGCAAACAACGGGTGACTATAATGAAGGGTGCTATGTTGTCATGGATTTTACAAGGAGCCAATGAAGAGAAGCTGATATGGAAGAAATCTGATGCCTTGTTCCTGTCAGTAGTCTCACTGCAGCATTTTGGATTATTTATATTTTCAGACATCATTTCACTAAAACCCAGGAGACCTGAGCTGAGCTGTGTCGCTGTTGGCTCTAGTTGCACTGATGCGATTTTAGAGCCTGTAATGGCATTGTGTTGCTACCAGTCATTACAGAGAAAATTAGTAGTCAATGTGGAGAAAATATGACCGAAATATCTCCCACAAGTTAATGTAGGTCAATAAAAAATGAATAGGCTGTAAGTTTTAACTGACTGTTTGTGAATGGACCATCTGGCCTGTATGAACAGAGGAAAGTCAGCCTGTATGTTGGTGTGTAGTTCTCAGGGCTTCAAGCTGCACTGCCCCCTGCTGTTCACCTGCTGACACTGACACAGTGGGACAAGGACTCGGTGCTGCTGAGACTGGAGCACCAGTTTCAGAGCTGGGAGAGCAAACTGAACTCACAGCCTGTCACCATCAACCTGCAGGTCAGACATTCAAAAGCACGTCTGGAATGAACAGAGGGACCGCCAGAACCTTGTCATTTTGACGCTTGGCTTGTTTTTGCTTCTTTGTGTTATGTGGACATTTTAAAGAGAGAGAATTAACTGGCTAAGTCTAATTAAAAGTTGAATAAATATATTGACATTTAAATAATTCCATCATCTGTCTGTACAGAAGCTGTTTTCCACTCTGGATGTGCTGGGCGTGTCTGAGCTGAACCTGTCAGCCAATCAGTGGAAAGACGAGATGACGCGTTTTGACTGGACGCCACAGACAGGTATACACACACACACACACACACAGGCTTATTAACTGCATTACAAAGACAGTGAATGTGCTGGAAGGAATGAATACACATCTTTCCAGTTTTAAATCTGCCTGATGAAGTGTCCAGGGTGTAGTTATCAAACACAGTTCACTAGATTAGAGTAAATGCCAAGTGTTGAAAACGAGTAACATCCCAAAGCTCAGCTAGTGGCTGCAGTGTTTTTAATGCCACAGAAAAGTGTGGATCAACCAACTTAATAGTTTCGATAATGTGAAACCTTCCCTAGCTGGAGGAAAGTCCATTAAAAGGTTTTCCAGGGAAATGAAGGGGTCTGTGACAATTAAGCCTAATTTCACATTACGCTGACTGATCTGAACATCTCATGAATGTGTGAACAAACCAGATTGGATTTGGGCCGTTTCCATATGTGGTTCGAGATCCTGTCCAATCTCTGTGCAGCGTTGTCAGAACGGTCACATCAGAATCCATGTGGTTGTTTTAACGTCTCCTCCTTCTCACGTACGGCCTCAAGTCATCATTTGGCGTCGGCCCCTCAGACCGGTAACAACAAACATGGAGGGGAGCGACGGGGTCAGTGGAGAGACCAGGACATTTCACATGTGTAGGACATTTATAGAAAAGCTTCTGATCAGGCCAAACGGGAAGGAACATATCATAACTGAGGAGTTCGGAGGACATGGTGCAATTTGACCTTCACACAAATGACATTAGCATTGTTATCCTTCTACACATGTGACTCCAACTTCATTTATAATCTGTGCACGTCATGCAGGAGCTCAGCAGCATTCACATCGGAGCTGGATACATGCCACAAACGTGAATACGAAACATTAAATGGAAAAAAGATCAGAGCATTGAGGCCTGTAATGTGAACATACTGTAGTATTGGATCAGTCCAGTAGAAAACACTAGGGTTCCTCCTCCAGGACTCTACCTGTAATAGTTCATGTGGCATCTTGCTAACTTGACTCATCTGTTAGCCCACCAGTCACTGATGGACCAATTGGCTGGTGGCCGTGGGTCATGTTCAGTTTGGTAGAGGAGGGGGAATACAGAACCCCGCTGCCACCTTTTATCTCTGACGGTGGTAATCACTGCTCTCTATACAATTTCCCAGCAGGGACTCATTAAGCAGATAATGCAATATAATGAGCCATGAATGTGTTTTTATGGTTCATAGCTTTAATAGTAACCTACAGGGTGGTTTAACAAGACTCATTGTGTTAGTAGGAACAATTTAGTTTACTTTAGCGGTTAACACCTTTTCTTTCACTGTGTTTTTGACCTTTGAACTTAGTGCCAGTTTGCTTCAAATGCTAACAAAGGAGTAATGGACGTGTGAAAGCGCTGCGCCTATTTATGGCCACTTTTACATGCCGTATCTGCTTTTTCAGATCAGAAACCCCTGCTGAAGATGGTCAGAGAGCCTTCTGTATGGGAGGTGACACTGAGGCCGATGGAGATCAGAACCTTCCTGCTCAGGGTCAGCCTCAAATAGGCAATCACGTCCTTCAGATGTTCCAAGAAGTCACAAGTGAACAAGCAGTATCAATCAAAGTTCCTCCTGCTTGGCTTTGATTAGACTAGGTGAGGACTGTTTCTGGAAATTGTACAGGCATTAGAACAGATGAAGTGTTCACTTTACAAAGAATGATAGGCTGTGTTCACACTGCTTGCAGCTTGATTTTGTGTGTGTGAACACAGAGGTAAACAACACTGAATCAGGTCAGCACCGTGGCCAGACGCACCAGGCTGTGAATCCAGAAACATGTTAAGATCAGGTCTGTTTTACTAAGACATGTTTTTGCAAACCTAGAGACACCGAGTGACTGAACAAGTTTGTCCTTTGAGGCCACAATCTGCTGAGCCTGTCTTTTTACTAATGATCAAAAATCTATAGAGCTACCCTCTAAAACTGACTTTGGAACATTCCTCAGCCTGGAAACCGACTTTGTTATAGATTGTTTTTCAGCACATTCACCGTTCCCAACCTGACAAACCCCAACAAACTGTTGCCAACATAAACTCCCTGATGTGTGCAATAAGTGTGACCGTTGTATTTGTACAAACATGTACACACTTTGAAAGTGATGTTATACTGATCATAAAGCTGATAATAAAATCTGTCATTCTTAATCTGTTACATGTTAATGTTATTGTGCACGCTGAGAGACTGAGGCAGGTTTTCACTTGAGATCCTTTAATGTTGGAAGAGACACTGCAACGCTGCTGGGCGGCCATTTTAACAAACAAAAAGTTGAGATTTCAGCTATTTGTGAAATCAGGACAAACATTTTAGTTGATTCAAAGTGTCAGATTTGTTAATGCTTGTTGTGTTACTCTATTAGCAGCTCAACACATATTGAAGAACATCTGTGTTCTGAATAGAACCACTAGTATACCGGCTGAAAGCTAGAAATTAAGTTGGTTAATTACAGCTCTCGGTTTATTGGGTAACCCATTAGCTTCCTAGGGACCAGTTACTATTCATTAAACTCTCTTAAAAAAAACAAAGACAGAAGGCATCTGAATGTCACAGTGCAGACTTTAATTTCATTAAAGTTGACAACAGTCAAAAAAAAAAAAAAATAATATACTGTTAAATCCTCAGGCATAAAATGTAACAATGCTCTGTCTATTAACACTTTTTATATTATGGTCCTCAACTAAATACAGCCTGACTGCAGCACATTGGGCACATTCAAACTCCAGAAATAAAATTATATATTAAAAAAAAAAAAAACTACAGTGGAATCATTCCATTTGCTCATTTGTCTGCTCAAGATGGTGGGAGTAGCAGCACCCGTCACCGTGTGTGCACGTTCCCTGGAAAAAGAACAACATAAACAATCTTCAGAGCGGACTCTGGCGTTATAGTAATGTCTGTAACGGCCGACGGTAAATTTGGCTGCTGGCAGTTTTCGGCCTCTCGGGCATGAAACCAGCAGGAAGTGGCAACCTGCCAAAGCAGCTGAAGATTAATTTACCAGCATGTGTCTGGTGTTTCATTTGCCGCCCCAGACATAAAGACTTTGCAAGTATAATTAGGTATTTAAATAATTGCCTCCCTTTAATTTTGTGAGACTTGTGTGTGCCAACATTATCATAAAGAACATGATGTACCAAAGTGGTCCTCACCTGCAGAAACTCAATCAGCTGAAGTAAACTGCTGGAATAGAAACCACTATTTATCCGCTGGACTGTCGTGCTTAGACTGTGCTGTGCACTAATTCACAATGTAACACATCCAGTAGACATGGAGCAACATTAGCATCCATTCTGAGTAATGTTTTGAAAGCACGTCTGCCTTTTAACACTGTCTGTCGATTCCACCTTCAGCACGATGCATGAAAGTGGTAGGTGGGTTATTTTCTTGGTAGGACATCGGGGTCGACTTCTGAATAATTCTTAAATCACTGATAAACTTAAGTGTCTTTGGGGTTTGTGTTAAGATGGACGTGTCTTGGGGCATCGTGACAGGTTTACTTTCCTGCACAAAAGCGACTGGATTGTTTCACATATAAAGCCACAAATCAATTATTCATGTGACTTCCTCGGCTGTTCTGTAACTGGTCAGGTGGGAGTTTTCCAAAAGATAACTGCTTTTCTAGGAAAAAACTGCCTTTGCTGCAGTTATTTTTCACCTTCCCCTTTATCAAAGGACATCACAATGGACATCACAGCAATGAGCAGTCCACACATCTAAGGTGAGTATGAGGCCAACTGTTATGTTGGTCCTCTGTGCCTCCTAAGAGTGTTTAAAATCCCTGCAACCAGTTGGATCCTAATACTCCATTTCTTAACTTTTAGGAGGCTAAGTATTTTTCTGTTGACTGTTATTAATCTGATCTGACACCACAGCACTCAGCTGCTTTCGTTCCTCTGTGTTGCCTGTCGTTGAACTGACCTGCCTGAACCTCTTGCAGGGGAAGTTCTTCAGCTGAGAGGAATCTGTGATTGGGTTCTTCCTCTTGTTCTGGTACTTCTTCCTCTTGTCCTGCAGGTCAGTAGAGATGCCACCACTGGAGGAGAGAGAGGGGACAGAGCAGAACGTTAGCTATGAACTACAGAGGACGAGGTGGAGTAGAGCGACTGGTAGGGGAGGAGGAGGTAGGAAAAGGGGGATCCGCCTGAAATGTAAATGGTGCAGAATTTTTAATGAGAAATCAGCCTTCTTGTGCAAACATTTAACTTGTAATTATTATTCATTTTCAAATCCAGTTTATTGAGGAGTCTGGGGTTGTAATTAATTCAGAACAGCTTTCACTGGCTCTCAGGATTTATGTTTTAAGCACATTTCATGTATTACAGCTGATTTTAATGCATTAAAGATGGTGCCTTATATTGGACCATACTCAAAACCGAGGTTTGTTGTGTGCTAGACTGTCAGTGCGAGTCCTGCACAGGTCCAGTTTGAAAAATCTCTGTACCTGACCCAACCCGTTACCTGGAATTATTTCTAAATGAAATCTGGACCCGACCCTTTAACATAAGACCCATGTACCTGTAATGAAAATAGGCTTTAAGTTACAAAATCACTTACTTTAAAGTGCTTCATAGTCATGTTCTTGGACACCTATCTGTCACTGGATGCAGCACTTGGGCTCTGCGGCTTAGTGAGGAAGTGCCTAGCCTGCTACTAGTAAATGCTAACACTTTTTGGCACCGTTTACAAGCAGCAAAGCCACAACGAATTTCTCCCATACACCTGACCTGGCCTTCGATGATGTATTTCACAGTTTTGTATTCACCACTGGCTATTTTCACTTTTATATTATCCAGTGCGACACACTGAAGCCTACGCTGATGTGCGAGTGACGTCCTATTAGATGGCTGCGCGTTCAGGCATGAAAGATTGTTCCATAGGCCTTCACAATAAATGCATTGGTTATTTAGGTTTGATACAAATATGATGGTTTAGATGTTTAAAAGAAGCTGCACCTTTATTTTTCAATTTAAATGATTATTTCACTCGCTACCTGCCCACATTTAGTCCAATTTTACCCATGAATTAATATAAACTGATTTAAAAAAATTTTTTTTTTTACCCGTTGCACCATTTTTTGTGGGTACCTGACCCAGTGCATGACTCTGGTGTGTGTCTCAGGGGTTACTATGTTACTTGCCCAGCTTTGGCACGAGCTCTGGGGCCCCAGAAGGCCTGAGGATTCTCCTGGAACCTGGTCAGGTGGCGTTTACGGGACTGGGGGTTGGCGTCTGCCCTCACTGTGAAACAGGCCTCTAGGCTATACACACACACAGAGAGAGAGACAATTCAGCATCAAGATGTTTGCCAGTACACATTAAGGTTAGGTGAAATGTGTTGTAGTGAGAACCAAATGGTTCTCGTGTGCTGGTCCTGGCTGTTTCAGTGTTACCTGCAGGTCCATCGCTACTGTACACCACACTTTTAGAAAACAGCTCGTTATACACCACCTTTGCCATCACATTGTTAGTGTGGGCCTCATGAATGGCCACTGAAGAATGGGTTTCTCACCTGGGATCAATAGAGAGGATCTTGAAGGCAGGGCTCGTCTGAGACAGCTTCTCCCTTTTCACTGGATTGGCCTTCTCCTGCAGCAGACAGCCGGTGGTATATGTGTAAGTAAAGATCGGAAAGCAGTGCGTATCAATAGCGTTTTTATCTTTAATTACACTGAGCCTGTGAATTCTGACAAGTCAAGTCAACCTTCAAAGATTAAAACAGCTCTAGTCATTTTTTTTCTTTGTAAACCTCTGTTTACCCAGCATCGCATGATGTCCCAGATGACTGCAGGAGGAGCGTCTGTCTTGATGGCGTTCTTACAGGCATGAGAGAGAGAAACCCTGTGACCAGCATGAAGGAGAGCTGATCTGCAGAGACACGGAAACAGAGGTATGATCAGATGGTTCACTGTGCAGCTAATGTAGGGCAGGAATATTTCATGCTGACAGTCACTGATACACATTTATCCAGTTGATCACACTTTAAAGTTGCATTTATTGACTGATTTGCTATGTGATGGCAGTGAGTTATTTCCTGTGATTTAAACTGTGAAAAAATAAAAGCAGACAACGGGTTTACCTGAACAGGAGCAGGGGAGGAGTGTTGCAGTGTATTGTGCTGCTCAGGTTGTCCACCGTGTAATAGAGAGGCACATCTTCCAGCTCCTGAATGAGACAGCAAAGCAGGTGTGACGATGCATTAGTCTAGCACGTTTTCACACAATGTACAGTCACCTGATGCCAATACCCACACCCATGTGACAACAGTAAAAGGTGAAAATAATGCCAGATGCCAATACCCACACCCATGTGACAACACTAAAAGGTGAAAATAAGCCCCTTAATGCCAGTGTTCACAGAATGCGAATACCTCTGTCACCATGCTGAGAATGCCCTCGATGCGTTTGGATGTTCCAAATCGGGATGGGTTCCCCGACACAGCAGACAAAACCCTCTGGACAAACGCCAAGTCATGGATGGGCTCCGCCCAGACAGGACCACCCAGCTACAGAGACAGACACGGGCTTCAGCTGGTACACTGTGTGCATGTGTGTTTACACAGTAATAACCACAGTCAAACCCAGGGGTTTTGACGTTGTTCACACGTGGCAAAAAAGACATGCTAAGATTGTCTGTGAGTAAAACAACCCCCGGGTATAAATACTACATTTAGACTAAGGACAGTAACCACAGTATGTGAGTTAGAAGTGATGAGTTTATGTTTGTGTGCCACTGTGTGAGCGTGACCTGATGTCTCTGACCACAGTGTGCACACGCCGGTCCAACGGGGGGTCCAGTGGCAGCAGAATACTTCATACTGAAATCAGGTAATATTCAACTTTACCACACGCAGTCAACTAGAAGCACAATAAGAAGACAAACTGAAAAAGCATCTTGAGCCGTCACTGCATTATTTACAAGTTCTTTTACACTGAACAGCTCAGATTAGAACTCAGGTGAACATACAGCTCCTCGCTTGGAGGTAATAATATTTGCTCTTTATCCTCGTTATGATTGACTATTTAATACACAGCCTTCCAGGAGAAAACCCCAGCTTTCTTTCTGCCATCATACGCTCGTATTTTCCAGTAATGTTTTAAAGGTGCTCCGATACAGATTTTTATGTCCGAGCAGAGTCTGCTGCGGGGGGGGGGGTTGCAGAACAGCACATCCTGATTTAACCCTCAAGTAAATCATCATCAGACCGTTTGTACTGTCTTACTGTTTTCCATTGCTTGTTCTTCTTCCCATTTTCTGTAAGTGGAAAGACCCACAGCCAACACAGTTGTAGACCAGAGCCTGTTTACTGCATGAGATGGGGGAGAAGCAAATAAAGTCAGATTTAAATGCAGAGTTGTTGAACACTGTGACAGTGAATGTGTGTACATACATAGTAATTAATATTGTCATTTGGTTGCTCCATAAAATCTATTCTCATGTTTTATTTTCGACTGCTGCCATTACTTTTAGAGTTTGTTGCTGCAATGACCCATTTTCAGGATCTTTCATCATGTCAGAAGAGAGTATATTTGTGTGAGCACCTGGCGGAGTTTTTGACCTTAGCCTGTCCTGTGAAGACACGTACAAAGACCCGAATGTAAAAGTCAGCGCTGACGGACAGCAGAGGCTGGATATATCGCTGGTACACCCCCGCCCTCTGGTCCAAACTGTGGAGGATGATACGCAGAGCCTGTAGCAAAAAAGGGGGAGAAACACACACATTTTTGTTTGTGAAAAATCACTCCAAGTCAGATCTTTCTTTCCCGTTTTTATCTTGCTGGTATCAGTCTCTGTTTTCTTTTCGTTCTCCCACTGTCATCACAGCTGAATTAACTGCTGCTAATGCAAGCCCATTATTTAGTACTGCTGCTAGTTCACATGTGGAAAACAAAGTAGCTTTTATTATGAAAATGAAATGTAATTGCCACTGAGGTGAGTACTGACAAAAGGGTTGAGTATCACTTTGGGGTTTTTTTCTGATCTTTCAATCAACAATCATTTAAGTGGCACCAAAATCTGCACTGTGATTCGCTCCGGTAGGTACAGACCGTACAGGAACTGGGTTTCGTTAACCATCCCTAACTGACAAATATCATGAATCAAAAATGCATCTATCAAATAAGACACAGATTAGTCATTTTTATCATTAAACACTGTGGCTTTGTTTAGTTGCACTGTAAACAGATTGTCAGCATTCTGACAAGAAGCTGCACAGTGAATCTTTGTTGTGGTAATAAACTGCACTTCCTGTCACTATAAATAAGCATCACTCAATAATCCAGGATTGACATCTTAAAGATTATAACTTTAGAGACATCATCCTTCTATCCCAGTGAACCAAAGCCTCCTAGTACGTATACAAGTATGCACACACACACACACACACACACACACACACACACACAAAGCTAAGTTC